CTGAAGTCAGGCTCAAGTCTACTGACATGACTGTACACCCCACCCTGCATAAACCAAACCTAGAATGGGAAAGGGCCAGGACCTGGAGCAGACACCACCTGGCCACCCAACCTGGCAAGGGGAAAGGCCCAGCCAGCTTGTGGGCTTTACAGGGACAAGGGAGGTAGTGCTAAAGGTTGACACTTAGGGGTGCCCTTTGGCCTGGTTAGAACTGGAGATAGGGACAGGGTGGGAAGGAGGTATTGTATTTCTGTTATGGGCTTGGAAGAGACATTAAGGGAATGGGAAAGAGATTCCCCTGGGTTTGTGAGGCAGGGGAGTTGGGGTGGGGAGAGGGAAGGACAACTATGGTCCCCCTGTGAGAAAGGTAGGTATGGGCTTAAGAGGGACATTAAAAGAGTGGGAGGAAGGGATCTATCTTTTACGGAGGTAGTGAATGAAGTTTGGGAAATGAGGTTGGGTTAGGCATAAGGGAACCCTCTTCTAGGTAAGAGGCAGGGCAGTGAGAATGGATGGGGTAGGGTAGACTGGTTTTGATTGGGGGGGGTAATTTGGGGAAAGTCTGCTTTGTCATACTTATTTTAATATATATTGTCTTCTAACTTTTTTTTAATAATATGCTGCCCTGAGCCTCTTTCAGAAATGTCAACATATACATCTAAGAAATACAATAAATAAAAATAACTAATTACCTGCTCTGCCATTCTCTCACATTGCAAGTACGACTGTCTTTACTACCAGGCTACTGCTTACTTCAGACTTTTCCAGCAAAAATAAAAAGAGTTTTAACCAGAAAACACTGACTTGAGTGTGCGGCTGACAATCAAAATATTCTGATACATCATTTGGTCCTGTATTGGGGACCAAGTATGTGTTTAAAACAGTCATCTAAGATATTCTGAATGATATTCAAAGATATTCAGAAATACTGTATTTTCTCACATACAATACACTTTTTTTCCAAAAACTAGCTGCTGGAAATTGAAGTGCAGCTCATACGCAAGAATATGGTATAAGCAGCTTCTGCCACTTAACTAGGCAAAAGCAAAAGTAAAATCTGTCCAAGATGCACAGGGAGAAGAACAATGAGCAGGTGCAGCTCCTTAGCTGCGGCTACTCAGGTGGTGCTACAAGTAAAGATCTTTTTTCTTCATTCTGACTTTCAAAAAACAAGAGGCATTTCTTATTCTGGGACACGCTGTATATCCCAAATGGTATTTCTAATCAGAAGTATCTGCCATCCTCACCACCTAAAAAAAGAATACCCAGAACCAAGGGATATTATTGTAATGGTTCTATCTAGCAAGTTTTTTGTGTAAGTTAAACTTAAAAAGTATATTTGTTGTTGAAAAGGTTCTAATTGGTCATTGAAAGTCAAGGTTCTCCACTTCTAAGCAATATGTACTTACTAGCAAATGGGTACTTTTTTCAGGAATCTGTCTTATTAAGGTTTATCAAGTGGCAGTACATTTTTTAAAAATTAGAGGACTTCTGTACTCTTGGCTGATCTTTTGCAGCAATCCCAGGTCAGAATTTTAAACCTTAAAATAGAACTCAAACCTCCTCCATGATATCCCAGATTGAAACCTCAGTCATGAATCCATGTATACTAATATTATAAAAGCCTAAGTCTGGCTGTCTGGCTGTTCCTAACGCTTTATTTGCACTCTGATTGGCTGACAGAAACAGCCAATCAGAATGCTCCAAGTGTGGGGGAGCACTGCCATGATTCCAAAGCCATGCTGAGGACCAGACAGAGGGTAGGAGAGCCCACCCCGCTCCCTGCAAGCAGTGCTGAGGACCAGATACGGTGTTCTGCCTCTCCTTGCAAGAGGCAGAACAGCAGCATGGGGCATTAGGTGGCAACACTCCATCCCAGCCCCCTCTGCCCAATGGCCCCCATCATTCTTGACGGGCAATTGGTTGGTATCATCATATAAGACTATGGTGTCTAGTAGTAGTGCTGTAGCTGAAGGTCTGTGAACCATTCTATTTTTAAAAAATCTAAGTTTTGTCATTCTATTTTAAAATATTAGGACTTGCATCACTTATTTGTGACAGTAATCTTACTCTTGAAAGTAACCCTCTTAATTAGTTACATTCACAAAAAAATGCAGGATTACATCCAAATTTGAGAACAGCATTCACAAAGTAAGGAGAAGTGGAAATGCAAATTCCTTTCTTTTTGTCTTCCACATATAAAACAAAAAAAGAAATCTGTTCTCCTGAACTTGAAAATTAAATGCACAGGGCAGATATGTAGGCATTTACCATGCCTCAGTGGCACTTACCCAGTCATGTATGTGCCAGGTTTGGCACTTACTACAGCTAGTTAATCTATTCCATGTACAGTGTAGATATACAACCTCCTCATCTTGTCCCCTATAGGCACAGAAACTAATCTATCACTATGCTCTGTACAACCACCACTAAAATATTTGGAGACTGTTACCAAATCCTCCTTCAGTCTTTTCTCCAGACTGAAAAACACCAGTCTTCCCTTGTAAGTCATGTTTTGCAGACCTTTAATTTTTGTTGCTATCTGCTGGATTTTCTCTCATTTGTTCGCATCTTTCGTAAAGTACAGGGCCCAAAACAGGACTTCAAGTAAAGCCACAGCAGTGCCAAGCAGAACAAAGGAATCACTTCCCTTGCTTTGCAAGTAACACTCCTATTAATACAGCCCAGCGTGGTATTACAACCAGAGCACACTTTTAAGTCCCATTGAGCTTATGGCCCACTATAACCTCCTTGTCCTTTTCTGCAGTTTTACAGCCCTCCCCCAGTCTGCATTTATGCATGCAATTGTTCCATCCCAAGTGCAGGACTTTATATATGTCCTTGTTGAATTTTATTTAATTAATTTCAGACCATTTCTCAGTTTATCAAGGTCATTCTGAATCCTGCTTCTACCTTCCAGACTGTCGTGTCAGCAGCTCCACCCAGTCTGGTGTCATCTGCAAATCTGCTAAATGTGCACTCAAGCCCATCCTCCAAATCATTAAGGAAGATATTAAACAACACTGGAGCTGTAGAGTATGCAGTGCTTTAGAGCAACTTTGATGGGGAAAAATAATTAAAAGACATGAGAATAAATAGAAAATGGGATAAAATGTTTAATTAACAGAATATAGCTCAAGGTTAATCTGATAGTTTTCTTTGATAAGATAACTAAATTTCTAGACAGAGGGAATGCAGTACATTTCCTCTACCTGGACTTCATGAAGGTTTGCTACAGCACCACATAGGAAATTGTTCATTAGAAAGGAAAAATGGGGATTGGTAAAGGAATTACATGGTAGAAGTAGAGCTTGTAAAGCAGAGCCAGCAGGAGGTATTGTTAATAGGGTATCAGTCTGGAGGGAGGTTACCAGTGGAGCTCCTCAATGGCTGGTTTTGGGACTTGTGGCAGGCTTGGGGGATCTCCATCTCCAGAGCCTGTTGCCTCTAGGTGGCCAGACTGGCCTGTTGGTGTTGGTGTTGGTGTTGGTGCTCTGCCTCCTCTCTCTCACCTGCCTACGGAAGCCAGGGTAGCCTACTCCTTGGTGCTTGTTGCCTCTCTCCTCTCCCCACAGGTGTACTCCCACTTCAAGAGGGCTGTGATTGCCCTAGGGGCTAGAATTGTGATCTCCAGCCACCTGCATAGTCATGCCCATGCCTTGCAGATGACTCTCAGTGGTCCCTTCATAGCAGACCTCTACATCCAAAATCAACAGGATTAAATAAATATTTAGCCAGCCATCTTCCTGCAGGGCTCTCACATCACTGCCTCCAGGGCATTTGAGGAGTCCTTACACATGCTCCAGGGTTTGGGAAGGAGCTGTTTTAATTAAGGTGGCTTTCAGGAGCTGCTCCAGTTAAAACACCAACAGTGTCTTTTGTAGTCAGCATCCCGCACTTCAAAATGGAGGTGGGGGTGCTTTAATTAAAGCTCGTTCAACGAGCTTTAGTTAAAACACCCCCACCACCATTTTGAAACATGGGGACACTGAACACATGCAACGCAAAGACTGCTAATTCTAATTAGAACACTCCAGCAGACTCGATTAATCAATTAAGTCATTAATGTGCTCTAGCACATTCTAATTAGGATGCATTACAGTGTATTGGAGTAGGCATCAGACATGTATATAGGTATCTTTAGTGCCTGCCAGGGTCTCTCAGGCAGCTTTTCCCATGTAGAGCACTGGCCCTTCTTCCACTCTCCAGGCACTGGCTTTTGAGCTTCTCAGACCATGGCCCCTCTTGTGGCAGGTGACGCTCCAGTCCCAGCACAGCTGTCCCTCTTTAATTCCAATGGGCAGCTCCCAGCTGCTGCTCTGGCAGCTCCAGCAGTGCCATTGCTGCTCAAGCAGAAGCCCCCCTACCATCCCATTGCCGGGCAGCTAGCCCCACAGTAGGCACTTGCAGCCTATGGGTTCACGGAGGCCTACTCCCTTGCAGCCAGCCCATAATGAGCATTCTTTCCCCCACCTGGGGACATCCCTGTGGCCACTTCTCCCTTAAAGTAATGGGAGTTCCTGCTCCCTCTAACAGGGTATAAACCACAACTTTAGTAGTAGTAAAGTCTGGAACAGCCTTCCAATCAGAGTAGTGATTGGGAAAAAAGCAACTACTTCTAAAATGCAGCTCAGGACATTTACGTGAGATTTTATGACAGTTCAGGCCCTAATAGGGCTCTATGACTCATGCAGTCCTCTATGTACCTGTCTTGGTATCGGTACTCTTATAGGTCCATCTTACATCCTGAAGAAGAAGGATGCTCAGGGCCATCTGGCCACTGAAGAACTGAAAGAGTTTCTTAAAAAGTAGCAAGTCCAAACCACTAGCATTTTAACAGGTGTCTTAGCAAAGCATTAGAATCATATTTACACCTTTACGCAGATTCAAGATTGCACAGAGATTCAGAAGAGAAATTAAATGAGGAAATGCTAACAACTCCAGTTGTTTATCTTTCATGCCGATATAGGAAAGTGTATTATACCCCAAAGAAAGAAAAATTAACTCAACCATATAGTAGTATATTTATTGTTTCCTGCAAGCAGGGTAATTATCCGTCATCACATCATAATATAGCCCCATAAAGCAAGATGCTTTTATCCTAAACCAACACACAGAAATTTAATCCCTTTGACTTTTTTTTTTTTTTTACCAACTTCACATTCTAAGATTTCCAAAATTAAGCAAAAAGAAAATGCAAGACAAATAAAAAAAATCATGTTCTGAGCATTATAGCAAGAAGTTTGTATCCAATAAAACACCTTTTAAAATCACTACCACTGAAAATAGTCTGAACACAATGATCAACATATAAAGCCTGAATTTTCATTCACTCTTCCAGTTCCTTGCTGATAAATTCTTTACAAGCTTATTTCTCACTTAGGAACTGTCATGCCATGTCAAACTAATAGTCTACTCAATCTGGCATTTGGTACCCTTTTCCTCCAACAGTGAGTGTTTGGCTTATGTCCAGAAACATGATAATGGATACCCCTTAAATATCTGTAATCTTAGCTAGTGTTACTGAGGATGTTATATTTATTATTTATATAAATAATAATAATTAGTGGAAAGAGTGCTCATCTAGAATTTGGGAAATGAGGTTTTGGTTTCCTGCCTGAGACTTGTTGTGTGACTTGAGCAAATTGCTCGTTCTGATATTCAGTTCCCTTCCTGGTCACCTAAGTGGCCATTTTTTATTCATTGACATGGCATTTTTGGTACTTATGCACCTAGAACTCTATTTCTGAACACGTAGCTCTGTGTGCATGGATGACTACATGAGCATGGAGACTGGGCATGCACTGTAGCACCTAGGATACATCTATAGGCCCCTTGTGGACATAAAGTGGCCTTAAATGCTTCAAACTGGAGTTGACCAAAGCCCATGATTATGAAGACTTAAACTCAGAAAGAAGAGAGACTTCCCATCAGAGCCACTTCTAGCATTTTTTGTACCCTGGACTGAGATGCTATCAAACACCGAAGAGAAATGCTGAACTGTAGAGCAGATCATTGCTAGCACCAGGTTCCTGCTTCCCATTGTCTCCTTGCAAGAGTAGCTAAGGTATTTATCTGGATTCCTGGAGGACCTGGTTCTAGGGTCTCTCCACCTACCCAGAGGGAGTCTGAACCCGAGTCTCTTTGACTTCCCAGTACAGCATTCTAAACACTGCATCATAAGTCAGCGAACATATAGATCCTTCTCTACTTCTTTTTAAGTTGGCTTACCTGGCTGGCATGAGGGGACCACATGTGTGAGATATGTGGGGCCAGAAGAAAAGGGACAAAAGCATAGGGTGCGTGGCAGCTATTGGCTTGGATAAGGTAGACAATTCCCACTATGCTGCTCCCCATATTCAGTATTATACTCAGTATACTTTTTTAATTTCAGATTTACTTTTTTGGACTCCTTCTCTACCTTGAGTACATATTTGCATTGTGTTGCTGGTGGTGAAGAACAAGTCATTTTTCTCAACTACTCTTAACTTCTCACTGTACATGAATAGTTCAAATAATTTCCTCTAATATGCATACATTTTTATGTCCTTCTGAATTTCCTTATACTATTTCTATGTGTGACAAGCTAAATCATGTACAATTGCATAACTACCTCATCTCTTTACAGATCATTAATATATTAAATAATTCTAGCTCTAGCATAGATTGATGGGCAGTATTTTGGAACAGAGATTGTAGTATAAATCTCAGTAAATAAAGTACTATACTAAATTTGTCCACGAGTAGACTGATACTGATACCGCATAGCTGCCCTTCCATTTTATTCAACAAACAGCTTCAATTTTACTTTAAAGAAAATTCATAGAAAATTCTGAGAGAGATGGGATTTTTTGGTGATATCTTTTCCTGGACCAAATATAAAGCTGGGAGAAATTGCTACAAGGTTGGTCAGATAAAAGATATCACCAAAAAAATCCTTCCTCTTGTATATTTCCCAGACCACCAGAGCTACAACATCACTCCAAGTCTACTTATAAAGTCTAAATCAGTGGTTCTCAAACTTTTTGGACACAAGGCACCCCCCATTGGACTTGAGACACCATTCCATACATTTTGTGACTTAAGTGGCACCCAATTTCAAAAACTAACTTATAAATTACAATGCTTACCTCCTTATAGTTTCATAGTTTCTAGGGTCGGAAGGGACCTGAGTAGATCATCTAGTCTGACCCCCTGCTACGGCAGGAAAGAGTACTGGGGTCAAACACCCCAGCAAGGTGTACATCTAGCCTCCTATTAAAGACCCCGAAGGTAGGAGCCAGCACCACTTCTCTTGGAAGTTGGTTCCAGATCCTAGCCACCCTGACTGTGAAGTAGCGCCTCCTGATATCTAGCCTAAATCTACCCTCTGCCAGCTTGTGACCATTATTCCTGGTCACTCCCGGCAGTGCTCGGGGGAACAGGGACTTCCCCAGTGCCTGCTGGTCCCCCCTGACTAGTTTGTAACAGGCCAC